GAACCTACAGCTTCGTATTCTTGAGAAGGCTTACCCGGCTCCATTTGATTTTTGAAAAACCTAGGCCCAAACTCCCAACGAGTCCACAAAAAAACTCAAAAACGGTCTTGATTTTGTCTACCTTATTATATAATCAATATTTTGGGTCTACAGACCCTTTTTTTTTGGCTGGGAGAAAAACAAAATCTCCGTCGTTTGTGAAAAGAGCAAAAATTCAAACCCAAAATAATGGAGTAAAATAATTAATATCAATAAATTCAGATTTGAATAATTGGAGAGTTTATAATACTTTTATAAAAATCCTTTGACATTGATGTTTTATCTTGAATTTAAATATTTTAGTAATCCATTACATAATCGGCGTTAATATCCGGTGCAGTAATAAACTTATAGTATAAATTTACTAAATTTGATATTAAAATACTTCAGATTAGTGAATAGAGAAAGACTACATAGGTATAAAAGAAGTATATCTATTGATATATATATATATATTCACAATTTACCTTCTTCTTTCAATTCTTTAATGATTCTTTCATATTTTTCATCTCTTTCCTTTTGAAAAATTTTCAATTCTTGTTCAAATTCATCTTTTGATAACCCATTTGACCATCTTAATTTATAAAAAGGATGATCTTTTGGTAAATAAGTTTGACCTTTTAAACCATAAACATTTTCTCTAAAAGTACCACCATTAACTGAATATTCAGTTTGTGCAACACCTCTTTTTTGTAATTCTGGTATTAATAATTCAACAATATCTTTAAAAGTACCTGGCCATCTTGCATATGCAAAATTGAAACCATCCAATCCAGTTTCTTCAACCCATGCTTCTAAAGTATCTGCAACTTCTTGTGGAGTTCCAATGAATTCTTTAGTTGTTGAACCACCAATTGCAGTATCTTGAGCAAGTGAACGTCTTGTAACTTTTAAATCTGGATTATTTTTGGTTAAATTATCAACTAAAGATCTCATACCATTTGATTTAACGTATTTCAATTCTTCATCCCATTCATATTCACTTAAATCAATACCAGTCCAACCGGCAAATAAAGCTTGTGCACCTTCTAAATCAACATATTTTAAAATATCATCAAATTTTTCCTGGGCTTCTTCATGTGTTTTACCCAAGATTGGAGTAATTTGAGTTAAAAATTTAATATGATTTGGATCTCTACCAAATTTTTCTACAGCTAAATATTTAATATCTGCAATTGATTTTTTCAGAATTTTTAAATTTCTTCCACCAACAAATACAACTTCTGCATTTTCAGCTGCAAATAATTTCCCCTTTGATGAAGTACCAGCTTGAATCACTAATGGGAATCCTTGTGGGATAGGTTCATTAATAGCAGGACCTGGAACATTAAAATATTTCCCAACATGATTAATTTCACGAACTAAATCAGGATCTGCGAAAAATTCACGTTTTAAATCATAAACAACAGCATCATCTCTCCAACTTGATAGTAATAATTTATAAACAATTTGAACATATTCCTCGGTTTTGATATATCTTTCATCATGTTCAGGTAATGGTCCACCATTTAATAATTGTCTTGCAGTACTATTCAAATAACTTGAAACAATATTCCATCCAATTCTACCTTTTGTTAAATGATCTAATGTAGCTAATCTTCTTGCAAAATGATAAGGATGTTCACTTATAGTACTAAAAGTTAAACCAAAACCTAAATTCTTAGTGACAGCAGCCATTGCAGTAACAGGAGCACTTGGTTCATTTTTTGGAACATTTAAACCAGAAGTTAAAGCAGGTGCTAAATTATGACCAGATTCAGTTTCTGAACCTCTATAATCATCATAAATAGTTAATGCATCACCAATGAATACACTATGGAATTTCCCCTTTTCTAATAGTTGGGCTAATGAAGTCCAATATTCCAAGTCTTTATAATTTTTTGATTGATCTTCTGGTGATTTCCATTGACCTGGGAATTGATGACCTGAAGCTGCATTTTCAAAAGCATTAATGATCCATGTTTTCTTTGGTTTGGTTGTCTGTTGCCTCTTTGGAGTTGGTTCTGTCATTGTATGAAAGTCAGTGGAGTGATTTATAGCAGTGCATGTCATCTTGAGGCAAATTTGGTGGATAATTTTGAATTTATATAGAATCCGATCAGCTAATATGCCACAGTTTTATGAGGTGGGCAGATATCAAAAATCATCAGAAAAATAAGTACAAGAATTTCAACTTTATCAAGAGATAACCTTTAAGAGATCTCAATTGGCGAATAACGAGCCCATGATATCAATAACCAACAATTCAATGTTTGTCTAATTGGTTTTGGAATACTCATGAAGACAAAATGTCAGTGAAACTTTCCCAGGAACAAAAATTCTATTACACCAAAAACCGAAACGCGAAATTGTCCATACAAAATAATGTATTTGAACAATTTAACAATTGAATTGAAAGAGTGTTGATGATTTGAAAAGAGAAGAGAATGATTGGAGGATATACTGTGATTTCTTAATGCTTCTGTAATATTAGTTTCCCAAAAACAGCAGGTGAAAAATGGTTTAATTTCAAGATCTATTCAAAACGCAAAAGTACCCCAGATTACAAAACTATACAAAATCCACAAAATGAACTAATACATAAACAAATACAGCATCCTGATCATCAGGTTGTAATAGATATAGCAGCTACATGAATTACAAGTCATTGTTTCTAATCCAAATTCACAAATCCAGATTCAAACCGTCAAATTTAAATCTTGAAAATTCCCATATACGGAAATTATCAAAATGTATAAAAATCAAGGGATTCCCAAATTTAATTTCCTTTACTAAAAAACCAAATCCCTAAAAGCTCATCATTTCAAAGTTAATGAACTGGATCTCACTACTCAGAATAGAAGAGAACAATCATAGTCATTACATCAACAGATTAACAGAGAATCCTTATTTCAGTTCTTTTTTTTTGTAAGTGATATCAATTGTGTTTTGTGTCAAGTATAAGTATAGCGGCTAACAAGTTGATCATAGAACATTATTACAAATTAGAAGTTTTATCAATAAAACATTGGATAACTTCAAATCTTTTATTAGAATGTCATCTTCATTTGGGTTACAAACCATTTCATTTGCATTTTTTGGTGCTGTTTTCATGGGTGTTTCAGCGGCTGCTTCTGTATTCATCTTACCTTTATTAGCATTATCATTCATCTTTTCAGGTTTAGTTGTTGTTTTCAGTGGGTTAAGTTATACTACGTTCAAGATGGCTTCATCAAAATATAATAGAACTGTGTTATTATTGAATAAGTTATTAAGAAAATTAGCTGATACTATTCCACCTTCTGTTGGGTTTCAAGAAGTTTCACAAGAAAAAAAGACAATCTTTGGTGATTTTATTACTTTGCCATCTTTAAATTTATTAGAAAGATTTGAATCTCTACAATCAAGATTAAACGGTATTTTCAGATCAAATGATGAAAATGATTCTTCTGTTATCAAATCCAAGGAGTTAAATGGTATTGATTTGAATCAACAAGGTCCAGATCCAGAATCTTTCCAAATTGAAAATCAACCAAATACAGTTATTGATTCAGATGCTCCAATAATTTATGATGATCGTTTCGATAATGAAAATGATGATACACTGAATGATGAATTAGAACAAGAACAAGAAGATATACCTTTATTGAATGGGAATGGTGATTCAACGAATACACCAAATCCTTCACCTATTGATCAAGCTATTAAAGATGGAGAAATTGATCAAATTGGCGGTAATAATAATTAACAATTATCAATTATAATATTGATGAAATTTTATTCCTTTTTTGCTATTCATTGGATTTGGAGATTTATTGCTTATTTATTTAGCTTATGATAAACATGATTATTTATATAAAGATTGTAGATCTACAATATATGTAATAAATTTCAAAATGTAATATTTGATTTTTTTATAGAATTTGACTCATTTTGTTATCAACAAGCACAATCCTTCCATATCAAAATCAACATGCATTATAAATTAATATTATAATTTGTTTGAAGTATAAATTAAATTCTAAATATACTGGTGTATCTTCAATACTTTCAGGGATGAAGTCTTTAGACTGTTCAACAGCTATTATTTGAAATTGGAATCATTCATGGAGATATAACCAAAAGAAACGTAGCATTGTTTATAATTTTATAAAACATAGAAGAAACAAAAATTGAAATTAAGGGGGGCGGATCTCAATTTATATAATTTTTAAATTTTCGAGATCTGCACTAAGTGCGACTGATATTAAATATTCCATGTGATTTCTATGATAAGTAACAACACAAAGTAATCATGGTATGGCGGTAATCTTCATCATGGGAGAGTATTTGATATTATGTTCATTATTGTTACTCAATTTTAACAAGAAGATTCAAATCTCAATATGACATTTGACATTATACTAAATAAAGAGTCTTCATGAAAGAATGATCAATGAACTACATCAACAATTGATTTCCAAAATAAAGATAATTGTATATATAGATTGTAATGTAAGTCTTTTCAACAAGAACAAATCATATATAGATTATAATCAACATGTTTATTGACTCAATGAGTTTAAAGAATCATATAATGGATCAATTCAATTAATCATTAATCAATCAAGATTATAATATACTTACTCAATTGAAGTTCCACTTGAAACATGATAAAAACTGTTAAGATTAGAAAAAAAACTAGATACAATGGACAAAACACCTGTCAAATATAGTTAGAAGAGGCAACCAAAAAAAGACAACATTCATGGATTCTTCAGTAAAACATATGAGAGGTTGAACAAAGATAGAATTTAGAAACAAGAATAATTGGAAAATTAAAGGGAATTTCTTTGTGTTTATATAATTTCTCACAGGGCGGCTAATTTGAAATTGTGAAGTACGAATTCATTCGATTCGAAAAACTTAGATTCGATACGACTATATAACTTTTCCATTCAACTCATATTGTCAAAAGTTCGATGATAAAGCTTGTAGATCTACGAAATATTAATTTTCAAATGTAATTTGATTTCTTTTATGGAATTTGACCTGAACTATTAACATCAAGATCAATCATTCCATATTGAAATCAACATGTATTTATAACATCCATATATAGAGGATAACATTGATCTATTAATCAATCATACATAGAGTTATTATTCTTTAACAAAATTTTCCAAACATTCAATCAATGAAAACAGTTGGAATAAAACAGAACCATGTCTAAAAATGGAACTATAATATTTTAAGAACTAACCAGAACAGACGGTATCATCAATATAAATAAAAAAGCAATTAAAAGAAAAAGTTTTTATATAGTTTTATAACATCAAAAAAAGCTTTGGGAATTAAAGGGGGCAAATCGATCTCTATTTATATTGTTTTTTCCCCGGGAATATAAATTAGGCGAAATTTTGTATAACAGTTCTATAAAGAAATTTAGTAAAGTCAATGCTTAAGTTGTAACAGAACAATATTTGATATAGAAACAAAAAGAAAGATAACTTTAAATGAATGAGATCATGTAAGGAGCCTTTGAAAACATTATCGTTAAACTACATCAACAAGTAATTTAAAATAAGATGATGATTTTATATATAGATTGAATTGTAAACAATGTTAACAAGAACAAATCATATATAGTTTATAATCAACTTGTTTATTCATTGATATCATGAGTTTAAAAATTCAGGTAATGGATCAATTATTAACGATTAATCTATTAAGATTATAGCATACTTGCCCAAATTATACAAAACATGATTCAAAAATTAAAGGCGCCCACAAATTTAGAGAATAATGGTCAAAATACCTGGCAAGAAACCTCCAATCTTGTACTAAAACATTAATCCGAGTAGATTCTGTGATATGATTTCCAAAGAAATTTTGTTGACCAAAAAACGCCAACATCATCATGTTAACTAATATGAAAGTTTTTTAAGCTGAGGAAATATTGAAAAAATTAAAGGGAGTTTCTTTGAGTTTATATTATATTTTTTTTCACGGCCGCTAATCTGAAATTTTGAATTCATAGACTTGTACTTATATATAATTTAGTAGTATGACTACATTAATTATTTTCTGGAAAATAACTTAATTATCCTTTCAAAACATGATATAAAGATTAAACGATAAAGATTGTAGCATTACAGACTCAAGTGTCTTGAAATGTAATTTGATTTCTTTAAAGAGTTTCACTCATTTTGTGATCAATAAGCTCAACTTTCTATAACAAAACCAACATATATTATAACATTCATTTATATACAGATGATTACATTAATATCAATCAATCATATGAAGCTGTTATTCTTCAAAAACCTTTTTAACTTAAGAGCTGACAAAATTTCATAATATGAATAATTCATCATATTATATTAGCCATAACCAATGATCAAAGAACTATAACCAATGAACAAAGAACTATAAACCATGAACAATATTAAAGATACATGAACAATTTGAAGCTTTCTATATATTAATAAAACATATCGATAAAAATTCAGGAATTCAGGGGGATTTTGCTATATTTATAATTTTTTTGGAGATTTAACAGCGGCTAAATTTCAAAACGTCAAATTAATTAACTACAAACAATTAAAATGAATGTACTATGCTTATGTACCAAAAATCAACATTTAAATTGAATGAATCACAGACCTAAAGATCTTATTAGTAGTTATCAACCATTCTAAAGCCATTTCAAAACAGGAGCAATTTTAAGTAGAAGCAATTAGCATTAAGCAAAAAAATAATTTTTATACCTGAAATTCTTTTCCAAAAAACCAAAATAGTAACTTCATTAAAACATAATCGACACTGAAACAGTCTTTTTAGAGCTTCACCAATACAGCCATACATAGTAAGCACCGTATGATATCATACCAACAGCTTCAGACACAAATACTGCACCGAGTACATAATCAGTCCATCTTGCCAATCCTAAAGTAATTTTTTTTCCTATGAAACCAGCACCAAGAAAACAATAGAGCGCAACACTAGCTACTCCTAGAAAAACCTTCCAATCTGTTGATAATGTAGCGCCTATATCAGCATATTCACCAATTTGCAGATTTTCAGGCTTGTAGGTCTCTAAAGCATCTTGAAGTTGCGAAACTTTGTTTTTATTTGAGTCATTTGGCAATTCAAATAGATTTATTAGCCCTAAGGATATTAGTGTAATGATTGTTATACCTAATAACACTGCTTTTAAGTTCTTGTAAAATTCTCTAGCTTTCTTGTTGTCTCTTTTGAATGGAGAACCTATAGTCTCAATGCTCATTTTGATAAAGTATGTCACGATATGTTCACTAACAAGTGATACAGTAGTTTTAAGAAGTGAAGCTTGGCTGCAAAGCTAAAAACAATACTCAGTTTTTACAATAATTCTTGGGTCCCGGAAATCCCGGGTAAATCCTTACTATAAATATATATTTAATTCCATAAAAACCCGAGAGTCTTTCCCCCTTAGATGACAGTGGTTTATAAAAGTGGATACAATACCACAATTGAATCCTTATGAATTATATCAACATCATAAAAACATTAGTCCGGCTCAAAATTTTAAGGCATTAGATTTTGATTACAACGAGCTGGTCACCGAGCTCAAAAAAATTAAAAGGATATTGGTGAAAAATCAAGCACGGTTGGCCGATTATAATTAACTGGGATTCACAAATATGATCTAGATCTGATGATTATACATTTCAGAATGATACTTTCTTATCTGGTATACTAATGTCAATCTTTGATCTTTGAATTCACACTTGAAACGTCAATGAGTTTATTTTGCTTGTGATCATTATCTTTCCATTGAAGTTCAAACACTCAAGGTGTTTATAAATTTCTGATGAACAAAACTATGACTTTTCAGCTTTCAAAAATTCATATACCCTCAAGCAAATAGTTCATCTGGTGTCACAATATTTCAATATATAGGATCTACAATTGAGAAAATCAATATATAGTAGCTGGTCATGTTCCAGAGTTTGTGAAACTCAATTTGATTAATATATTGATAGTTTGAACCATTTGGTTAAAGATGTGATCAATAGTAATTTAAAATGTATCTTATATGTAAGTTAATCAGTTGAATCTACAAATGTATAATTTGAATGAATAATAAATCATGATTTTCTAACAAGAACAAATGATTAATGTTTAAAATCATTATAAGTTTCTATGTAGAATATCAATCTGTACATTAATATAACTTTTAATAATATGAATAAAAGATGTGTAAACTTTATTCTTTAAAACATCAAAGTATAAGAGTGTGGACTCCTGCTAGCTGGTAAAATTTAAAAGACATGATCACATATTGTGAAAGACTGCTGGAGTGAATAGTTCTTGAAGCTTAATTCAAAAGTTTTGATTTTTTATATGAGTGTGGAATTTAAAAACATCACTTTTAACATAGATATGATGAATCAAAGGATTTGTAATTATATAGTACTAATAACGTATAGAAGATTGTTCAAAAAATCAGGAATTTTGGAGATTTTTATATAGTTAAGATCCACGGCGGCAAAGTTTAAAATTGAAATTGAAGTAAGCTATATTTAGATATCTATCTTGATTTCAAAAGATTAATTAAGTTGATTGATGTATACACTAGTTTAATTATTTGAAGTCAAAATCAATCCTATACATAATCACTAGTGTTTATTGACTTATAATAGTAGTACCTAATGTCCTAATTATCAACAAAACTTACTCCTGATGAATACTATCGGGACCGGAACTACTCGGGAGCAATATTCACCCGAATAATTTTCACTTTTTTCATGTGTAACTAAATTACAATATTGTAGATATAATAGCGATACGTAGACACCTAAACAATTTTCATATTAAGCTATGTACAACGTATCAAATTTCAAATGGCTGCTTTCAATGTTAATCAATCATAAAAATAAAGATCAATCAAGATAAATAAATCAACTGCATCTCAAGTTAACTTAATAGGGCTTACATTACAATAAAGAAACTTAATTGAAAATCAATACTCAATCCATCAAGTAGAGCTACATTAACAACTATTCCATTAATGATAATGATATATTGAATATATAGATTGAATTGCGAATGGTATCAACAAAAACAAATCATATATATAGTCCATATTCAACATGTTTATTGATCTAATGAGTTTAAGAATCAGGCATTCTGGATCATTTTAATCTAATCATTAATCAATCAAGATTGTAGTATACTTACCCAAATTGCGCAAAACAACTAATTAAGATACAGATTTAACATAAGGGCAAACTTTAAACCAACTGAAAGAGAAATTTTAATTGAAATTGAAATTCGTCCATTTAAGAGAAAAATCTTTATCAAAAAGTGACCAGATAATGATCATAGCTTTGATAATCGATAAATATGAAACTTTTAAGAATGGAAAAGAATTTGAAAATTAAAAGGAATTTCTTCTGTTTATATAATTTTTTTTTCATGGCGGCTAATTTAAAGAAAGAAATTGTAAACATATACTAGTAGGGAAAATTACTAATATATTGCACTAGTACAATATCTTCTGGATGATACGTAGTTATCCATTCAGAACATGATAAAGATTGTAGTACTACAGCAGTATCAAGTGATTAATTTAAATTGTAATTTGATTTCTCAATGGAATTTGACTTGAATTAATAAACATCAAGATCTCAATCTTTCCATATCAAAACCAGCATATATTCTAACATCAATGATGAAACATTATATGTCTATAGTGAATATTTAATCAATTATATTACAAAAGTTATCCATATACATGGTAAGACTTTATTTGGTAATTATCAACGTTCTAATTTATGATTAAAAGGTATAAATTGAATATATATATTATTGTTAAAAGTCTGGTGAAAATATTGGGAATTTCTCCTCTTTATATATGCGTAGTTAACACAGCGGCTAATTTGAATTTCATAACTATCTAGTAAATCGATTTTGTGATCAGAAGTTATAATTATAGATCAATGACTACAACATTTTATTCTTCAAAATATCATATATCATGACACAAATATATAGAATGACTATAGAATTTGACTTTAATATTGTTAAACATCAAGATCAAAATTCCCATGTATCAAAACCAGCGTATATTATTTAACATTTATAGATGAAACATGATACTATCTAGTAAACATAATCAATCATTTAAAGTTACTAATATTAATGTAAGTCTAGAGGTCCTCTTAACTATTGATCAGAACAACTGTGCAATTATGTTGGAAAGAACAAACAAAATGTGTAATGAGCACAAGTAAAAAACAAACTAATTAATATAATTACTTAAAGATGTAACGTGTGATCTAGAAAAATTAGAGATTAAGAGGACACACCTATATTTATAATATTATATAAAGTTTTTGGGGATTAGTAGCGGTAAAATTAATATTAATGCAGTTACACAAACACAAACACAAATTTTTAAAAGGCATAATGATTTTGTATATATAACAATATTAACCATTTGACGTTGAGGCTCAATATATAATTATAAATACAAAACTGATATTCATTGAATTTGTAGGTTCAAAGATCTTATTTGTAGTAAACAACACAACAATAGACCGCTTTGAACTATCCAAAATAATGGGAACAAAAAGCTTGAACTTTATTCATGCAGTTATTCTTGAAGTCAACAGGTTACGTCGCTCAGGCCTAAGACTACTTATATAGTTGTGTGGTGGTGAAGCATATATGATGTGACTGTGATCTTGGTATAACCCTGGATATGATGATAGATGTAGTAACGGTATAACGATATAACAATGATATAGAACTATATAGATATAACTTGGAGTGTAAGTAATGGTGGACCTGGATCTTATGTGTAATTGGGACCAGCCATACGGTATGTGCACCTTGGGCGAGCACCATGTAGATAACAACCAATGAGATGTCATAACTGATAAACAGTGATAACGACAGTTATTAAGAAAATAAAGGACAACTGTGACTATTATGAAATTTCAGATCTGATTGCAAAAGTTACCACACTGTGTTCAACCAGCAAAATGTAAAGGCCGTTGTAATAAAAGTCTTTGAAAAATTATAGCTAGTCGAAAATTAGGGATTTTCTTCGGAATTTATACAACTCTTTTTGGTTTTTTGATCTCCACATGCGTCGACGCGTAATTTCTTGATAACTATGAAAAGTAAATTCAAGTGGCGGTTATCATCAGATCATTTAACAATGGATTGATTGTATTTAAAGCTAGATTAAAACGTGAGTATACTTGATCAATCATAAAAAAGAACCTCAATCAAACCACAAGTTATACAAGATGACATACATTAGAACATAAGAAAGTACAAAGATCTCGCATTTTTAATAAACTACATCAACAACTAATCCAAAGGTGATAATTGTATATATGAAGTGAATTGTAACTTTCATCAACAAGAACAAATCATATATAGTTCAAAATCAACATGTTTATTTTGATATAATGAGTTTAAAGAATCATTTCATGGATCATTTTAATTATATAACCATTAATCAAATCAAAATTATAAGATATACTTACCTAAATTTAAGTCAAATGGATCAAACAAAACTCACTATAGCGCTAACCAGGCCTGAATTAACTTCAAAAATAGTAGAAACATCAATATGGAGAACGAAAACCCTAGTTATCAATCAAAATCTTGTAGTATAATGAACAAATACTAGTGGCGGTAGACTGTATCAAGCAACCAAAATTCAAACACTAGAAGAAAATTTAAATGCCAATACAACTGAACGATTTTATGATAATTATGTCAAAGTGAATTCACTTCAAAAATAGGGAATTTCTCCTCAATTTATACATATTTTTTTCACACAGCGGCTAATTTCATGAATTTCTGGTACTTCTAATCATGAAAACATTAATACACGTCGTTTTGAAAGATCTATCTTACTACAATAATTGAATAAAAGTTTTAAAAGTAAGATGATTTAAGTATTTTAAATGACTTCATATGAATGTGAATCAAGATCAATCAAATACTAATCAAATATTTATTAAGATGTTATAGAACAAGCTTTAAATTTTAGTAATCTTGTTTATAACCAACCCAAATCCCAATCAAATTCTGTCTATATCATGTACTAAATAACATAAGCGAACAACCAAATTAGTAACTTGTGTATCTTCTAATGAATCAAAGAAAAAGCGATCAATCATGTTATTGAATCCATCCACTTAAAACAGATGCACAATTATAAAAAATTCACCAAAACAGATCTCAATAATGGATGGATAAATAAAAGACAAAAATTTGTAAAATGGAGGATGTTTCCATGTTTATATAGTTTTAGTACAGCGGCTAACTTTATGATGACTATATACTGAAATTAATCCAGCGCCTAAATTAACAGAAGATATAATGAGAGAATTTAACACGTCTAGATGAATGTCCTGATTAACTCACAAGTAGAGTAAATTATGAAACTGTTCAATCACTACAATGGTTAAATTTATTAAGATGACAATTGATTTCAATATAGACTAGATTGAATTGAAGCAAAACCATAAGATCTATATCTTAATCAACATATATTAATATATGTAAAAGATTATATACTAACTTGTATGATATATAAACCTGAATGACAATAAGATATAATATAAGATATATCAAAGCATCATGATGTTAAAACATACTCATGTACATGAGCTAAACGATAAATTCCCAGGAAAAGTTTATTTTAAAGAGCTCTAACATAGTGTCTCTTGTTATAATAATCATCAATTTGAATTGCGACGAAAAATTCAGGAGATTCCATCGTTTAAATAGTTTTATTTTAGATTCAATAAGTTTTCAATCCATGCATGGCAGTCCCCTCTGCCTCCCACAGGATCGCCAATTGAAACGACAATTTAAAATTTAATCTAACTATTTAACTTCTCGCCTCAATACAATTAGAAAAGGATCAAGATTGAATAAGCACACAAGAACTCAGTATAATTGTTCCATCAATTGAATTCACAATGTCCATAGTCTTTAACCCTTAGATCTTATTGTAGATACTTAACTCCTTGAAAACCCGAATGATAAAGATCCATGAAAAAGCAATATTTCAAACCTTTTTACCCCTTAGATCAACTTATTCCAATAACAACATCAACACAACTATCTAGGATCATCATTTTTTCAACAATGGTTAGAGGAGGACAAGAATCAGGACCTTTTGAATTGTATCAATATCATAAAAATCAAAGTAGAGTACTATAGACTATATACTTCATATTTCTTTGTTGGTTGAAGTTGAATAATGTATTGAATCCAAACTTTACTGAAACTTCTATTACAAAACATCATCATGAATCAAGAATAAGACTAAGGTTTGATGTTTTCAATATAGAGAATGATAAGCTATTTGCTAAAGATCTGGGGAAAATTTCATCTGAGATATACATTGAATCTAAGAATCTTTAACTTGATAATTACTTCCATAATATTGATTTCCAATGTGGTATACATCAACCAATTTATAACTTCATAATTGTTAACAGTCAAAGAATCTATTTCATTTTTGAACGTACTCCAATTGATGGATCCTCAACGGCTCTTATCTTGGAATTCTATTAACAGTTTTAAACAATCAATAACTTCCATCAGATCTAAACCCTGATGAATTTGAATTAAATATCAAATTTCAAAAATTTCTTAAATATGGATACTTCATCACCAAAACTATGGAATTATGCCAAACTAAAGGACTGAAAAAAACAAATACTGGTTTTATCTACTAGCACTACTAAATTAAATTCTAAAACCTGGTTGGATTATAAGAACTCCCAAGAAACACAGCGGTTAATGTTAGTCTACAATAGTAATGAACGAAAGTTGAATGATGACTTTCTAACATTGGTTTAAAATCATTATAATAAGGTTTGTGTGCAGGATATCAATCTGTATAAAATTATTTGAATTTCAATAATATGAATAAAACATCTTGTAGATACTACAAAGTTAATATGTTAAAATGTAATATGATCTCTTTATAGAAGTTGACTTATTTTGTAACAATAAGATCAACTTCTCTATATCAAAATCAACATATATTTAGTATATTTATAACATTTATAGATTTGATGCAATATACTAGAAGGAAATATCAATCAATGATATAACCAAAATTGTTTAAGGTGAAAATTGTGTTAACATATAGATCTCAGCTGTACTGAAAATAAATAAGACGTTACCTTCATCGAATTACCGGTACCAAAGGAAGTAGTTAATTCTCAAAAATAATGCATGAATTGAGTTGTTAAGAAAGAATATTGAAGATTTTGTAACTGCGCACAAAACCGCAATCATATATATTTATAAAACACAAAAAGGATTTTAAGGGATTTTGGATCTCAGCGGCTGATTTTCAAAACACATTCAGTTAATTAGGTGATCAGCTACACAAAATACCAAAATTTCAAAGAGATAATGATTATTTGTATATATAACAATATTGGATCATTTGAATCATCAATATATGTTTATACATGTCAAAAACCAGCATTATATTGAATGATTAGACTTTAATTAAATCTTATTTGTAGTAAATATTCATCATAAAAGTCAAGATCATAACAAAAGTTACTTCCCACTTCCTTTTCATGTTCATCAAAAAAACTAACAATTATGCAGTTGATGATTCAATTAACACATCGTCAAAATTTCCAATACATTCTTTAATTTCCATTGTATAACATAGTGTAATATGAATGAGAAAAAAGTAAAATTGTTAAATCACGTATAATTTGAAAAATTTGAGATCAGGAATTTTTTTAAGATTTATTTAGGTATTTTTTACCCCCACATGTACGTCGTGGGCGCTAAAATGAAATTTCTGTGATAATATAAAATTAAACAATAAAGTATAAAATTCATATAGCTGGAGTACTCACCAAATCAGATGGAAATTTAGTATGTTCAAAGCCTGTGGATTATAAGTCTATAAATCAAACACAAATAAGAATCTGAACTGTGTTTTAAATTATCTTAATATGACAATATGTAAGATTATACTAAGGAAGCAAAGTGTATTTGAAAGAATGATAGAATCGGTAAACTACATCAAGAAGTACTAATTCAAAAGATGATAGATATCTGTATATATAAATTGAATTGTAGTTTTATCAACAAGAACAAATCATATATAATATAGTGTATAAAATTATTGATTTAATGAGCTCAAAGAATCAGCTATGGATCAGTTTAATTAATCATTAATCAATGTCAATTTAAATATACTTACCGCGTAAACTTAATTTATGCAAATTTCAAATATATATCAAACATATAACTATATGAATAAACACTAGAACTAATAACAACAAATGATGCAGTCAAATCAGTAACCAAAAATCTCAAAAAACGCAGTCCGATCTTAAATCAACTTAAACCTATACTGCAATTAGTACTATACTTAACAATCAAGCTGATTTAGCAAATATGTCAACATACAAGTGGAAGCACATGCTAGTGCCGCTGAAACTCAACACCTGAATAATTTAAGATAATGAAGAAAGCCATTTTCAAAACAATTTTGGGAATTTCTCCTCTTTATATAATGTTTTCAACTGGGCGGCTAATTTAAATTTCATAAAATTAGTGAACAAATTTGTACATATAACGTAATAGATCTATGTCTACAGTGATTTATCTTTCAAAAGAAGATGATTTAAGTATATGATATGGCTTGAATGTGAACCAAGATCAATCAAATACCAATCAAATATGTATTCATTATAACAAAGATTCTAAAGTTTAGTAATTATCTTGTGTATATAAGTGTGAATTAACCTGAATTCAAATCAAATAATTATACTTACCAGCTTTTCCCTGATAAATATGAAATCATATTAAATATTAATAGTATTCTGAAACCAATATAGATAAGCGCTGTGAATGTAAAGAGGAAATAAATGAATCTAAGCTGAACATTCTCTTACTGAATCAAAAACAATTTCAAACCATGGCAAATATTGTTGAATCGATATATTATACAAATCGAAAAATTATTTTCAAATTTTGCATATTGAATTTGGCGGGATGTTTCAAAGCTTATATAGTTTTGAGATACAGCGGCTAATCCAATAACAAATGCTATATTAATTTGCGGCATAGTAAATTAGAATTGAGGAGCAATCAATTACCAGTTATCAAAGACAAGATCATCAAGAGATCATCAAGAGATCATCAAGAACTACAGATCATATCAACTGAAGACAATAAATGATTCATATATTTAGGTCAAATCAATCATGCAGAAGATCAATTATAAATCTCATATAGTAAATCATTATACATATTCATTTAAACACTCTACCTTAAACCTTTCAATATCAAAATCAAGTTCAGGGAGCTGTATTTAAAATTCAAATTTAGTTATACTCAATTCAATTATTTTGTTATAAGCTGATAGGGCTGAAATCAAAAGTTCACAATAGTAATAAGCAACACAAACTGTCTCTCTTCAACCTGCGCTCAAACTTATATTATTAGTGTAATAGCTAAAGATCAGATTAAAAGTTTAATTATTTTAAAGGAATTTTGTGATTTTAAATAAAATTGCCACAAAACCCTCAGTACGTACAGCGGCTAATTTTATACAATATGATTCAAAAATCTAGCGCTTAACCATCTGAAGCTACTTTAACTTGTAAATATTGAGTCTAGATAGTAATGGGTATACAAATGATTATGTTGAATTATAAGTTAATTACTACAATGATCTTCTTATATAATGATAATTGATTTCAATATAGACTAGGTTAAGTTTATATAACCATCGAAACTATATATGTCAATCAACCTTTATTAATATAGTAAACCAATGATATTCCAATTGATTAGATGGTAACATCAATATAATCTTCATATGTTTAAGGAGTTATAGCTAATTTTTGATCATAATATGTTTGTATATGATTCTTAAAGTCTAAAAAGGAGGATTTATATTAGAATATCTAGTTCAATCATGTTGTTCACTTGAGGCTAATATTATGAGAGAATATTATGCATATCTGTATGAATAAAGCATATCTTTCAATCAATATAAAGAATACCATCACCTTGAATATAAACAATTCCAACTTTATCACACGATAGCTCTGGTTAGCTTACCTGAAGACTTATTTAAAGCATTATAATACGTTCAGATGAAGAATTTACTAAGAAGAAGTTGCAGCAATGAATTTGGGATCTCAGTCGATCACTTCAGAAATTTTAGCTAATTATATTATAGTTTTCAATTCACTAGTAGGAAACCCAGATATATCAGGACCTGTTAAACCTTTTAAAAATGCTTCTCTTTGTAATTTTAAATATTTTGTATTCAAATCACATAGGGGGACTGCTGGGATATACATAACAGAAGAATCCACTTCACCTCTATGAACTAGATCAGCTGCATGAATCAAATCACAATGCCAGAAAACAGCATCACCTGGTTCAACTTTTGGAATTGAAGTCATTAATTTAGATAAATTTAAATCTGGATGAGATTTATCATTAAATTCTTGATTTTTACCTAATTTAGAACCTAGAAATTTTGATGATTGTAAATCTAATTCATCAAATACATTGAAAAGGGGTTTTAATAAATAATAATTTGTAAGTTCTTTTATAAAAGGAGTCAATAAAATTGTACCTTCACTTGGACCAACTGAGGACATTTATAACCAACCTTGAAATGATCTGAAAACACTGCATGCATTAGCAACTGGATAAATATTCATATTTGCCTTAGTTCTATGAGTAACATCATAAGGATCATAATTTTCCGAATCACCATTGAAAACATCTTCATAACATTTACGATATTCTTCATCTTCCCATCTTTCAATACATCCACCATCAGCATGAGGACCTAATGTAAATGAATCATCACCCGGATTTCTGATACGAAATCTATCAGCATAACTTAAATTATGATTTAATGAAACTTCAACATCTGGGTTATTTGTATGCCATAAATTATTAAAAAATTTCATAGGTTCCATCATTTTTGGATCTGATCTTGCATTAATTTGAGATTTTGGCCAATATAATTCATAAACAATTTTATTTGATTCAGGATATCCTTTAGTTTGAGGATTTAATTTGATATAATCTTGAGCATCTTTTTTTAAATTCAAGTGCTTTCTCTTTTGGGAATACATTACGAATAATAACACAACCTTTTTTCAAAATATTTTGTCTTTTTGCAGGATCTAATTTTTGAATTTCATTAAATGAAATTTCTGGTATAATATTAAAACCTTCTTGTTTAATTAATTTAAGTTTTTCACCTAATACTAATTTTAATCTTTTCCAACTTTAATCAACAACTGTTTCAGGATTTTGTAAAAGTTCTTGCTTCAATTCGGCAAATTTTTGAGGTAAATAATCACCTTGATCACCATCTAATGGTTTATAAAAAGCAGTAAAAGCAGATGAAAAATCATTACCAGGTCTAGCTTCATAATTAAATAAATCAATTCTTTCTAAATTATCTTGTTTTAAAGTTAAAGTTGAGTTGGTGTTGAAGTTGTAGTAGTAGTTGACATTGTGAGTTCACTTGATTGTAATTCCTATGCACTAGAATGAATGCATTCTTAAAAACATTTCTTCAGTTCATAAAGGACAAATACCATTGTTTAAATACCCATATTTCAATGTACCCCATATCTTTTCATATCCATCAACAATTAAAAAATTATACATCTAATTCAATTAACCGATTCAGAATAGCTCCGCAATTTTAAATTTTGTATGGTAAATAATATACTGAACCTGGGCGGGATACTGAATTCGGTAGTCCGCATTTATCTTCCCGCACTCCATAGCTAAGGGCTTTTTAAGATTATTATATCTTATAATTCAAACTTTAAAACCATTGAGATAAATTTGAATTTAAAATTGAACCCGCTTGGTTTAAATCTTGTTGATTATTAAATAAATTTTCAAAAATTTCTTTTGGTTGAGGTTCAATTGAATTTAATTTTTCAAAAAGATTAAATGAAGCAGCAGCAAACCAATATTTATTTTTAAAATTTTTTAATAGTTCAAGACATTGATTATATTGATTTTCTTTTTCTTTTAAAGTATGTATTTGATCTTTTGATAATGCTGGTTTAGTTTGTGTTGTTGTTGATTGACCATTAGTACCTAATGAAGTTTGTAATTTTTTAGATTCAATTTCTAAATGAATTAAAACTAAAACATGTAATGTACTATGAACATTTAAAATATGTTCAATACAATCATTATTGAATGAAAATTTCAAAGATTCTATAATATCATTTGAAAATATATAAACATAATACATTCCTGCAGTTGATAATGGAGATTCATTTGAATGGAAAACTGGTTTATTAATATTGTTTGATTCAATTAAATCTAATAATCCAATTTTACAACGGAGGTATAATAAATTGCAATAAGCATGAGAAACTTTCAAAAACCTCATAAATTTTGATTCTATCGGTAATGTTGCATTCAAATTTCTTATCCCCCAATTTAATAAATCTAATTCTAAATTTGAGTCATTAAGAGTTCTTCTCCCTGGTGGTCTATAAACAGTTTTAATAACTCTTTCAAATAATAAATTTAATGAATACCATCTTTTAAAAAGTTCATAATCAGAAATTTGATAATTTTCAAAATCATCAAAATTTTTCAAAAAAGGTTCTTCAATAATCAAATCATCAATATTATAAAGCATTGCAGAACAACTTGTTGCTGCAGCAATTCTATCACAACAATATGAAGTCCAAAATAATCTTACCATTAAATTTCTATCAGAATTTAATCTAAACATTGTTTTAATATCAGATTTATCAGTTTTCATCACATCAAAATGTTCAGCAACTGCCAAGGTTGGTAATCCCAATTCCATAATTAGTAAAATTGCCTTTGAAATATATTCTCTTGCACAGTTTGCACCTTCTGGACCTTCTTCATTTATAGATAATAACAAATAAGATTGAATCAATGTGACTTTATTTGTTTCAATCATTTGTAAATATTTACACCTTGATTTAAATTCTTCAGAACGAATTCTATAATCATAATTTTGTAAAAAAGGATCATATTTAACACCAGCAAGCATCATTGAATTAATTAATAATAAGGGTTCATTTTGTAAATTTTCCAAAATATTTCTATTAACGACAGGATATAATGGATAAACATTATCTAAAAATAATTTAATCAATCTTCTTTGTTCTGAAATTTGCGGTATTATAAAAGCACCTTTTTTATTCAGATAAGATTTCAATTCTTTATCAATTTTGAATTCATCTTTATCTCTTGGTTCAAAATAATCATTTCTCCAAGGACAAAAAAGTCCCAAGACTTCACCATCAAGACTTAATACCGAATCACGAGATAATATAGGAGCTAAAGGTTGAGTTGCACTAATGAATTGAGAAGTTGCTCTACTTGATTGTAAGACATTTGCATATAAATGTTCATCTTTGGATAATTTCATGATTATTTTTTGCTTTTTAGACAATTCATCATCATTATCATCATCATATTGTCTCTTTTGATGAATAGAGTCTGATTCATCACCATTAACACCCACATCACCATTACCATTACCATCACCAATTTCCCATCGACACTGGGCCTTAGCCTTGATACACCGTTGACATACCTTCTCTTGATCCTCTACCAAACACTTCCTATGTAGTTTCCGACATCTAGTACAAGCGGGTTGTTTTTTCTAGTACAACATAATTAGTGATTATTACCCCAGATAGTACGAGACAATAGAGATAAAGCCCTAGTATATCACCCACACTCCACACTCCATACTCACTTGATCTTTCCCTTTATGTGATCCGTTTCCTGCTCCTTTGCCACCTTCTTCTGGATCATAGTTCACCACTTTCAAGGACATCATGTGACTTTGAAACCAGCGGTTATAATCAATTCAATTCAAAACAAATCAATTTAAATTTATACAATTTTCAATTTTCAATTTAACAATAAACAAAAAATTAAATTATAATCAAAAAAAACTGCTTATGTAAATATTATGTCATCTCAATTGAATTACATAAGCATTACATAATCATACTGCTCACTTTTCCGCGAAACGAGCATTTTCAATATTGGCAATTATATATTCCAGCGGCCGCTATATTTTAAATATATAATTACTCAAACAACTGAGATCAGAATCAAATGCAAGCACCGCATTATCTCAATATATTTGTAATTGGAAGTAACATCAACATCAATTGAATCCACCAAGTATTTAGTTTTCAATCCTTAAATTATCTCGTTGTTCTTTGTATAATGTAGAAGCTAGTCGATATGCTAGATCCGTTTAAATCCGAAATCTGAAGATCTAAGAAAAAGCAACAACGTCCCTTTCACCTTTCACCCCTTAGATCAACTTATTCCAACAATATAATCAAAACAAATTCATCTTAACATGATGGTAATTATGAAGATATCAATTTCATGAAAACAAAAACTTAGAGTAATATCTTGTTATAGATTCATCGTTTTAGAATTGCCAGGCATCAAAAGTTTTTAATCTAGTTACTTCAACAAGGTTAATAGTTCAAGAAAGTTAATTAAGAAGAAATTAATAATTATTGTATTATGATAAAATAGGAAACTAACTTCATGATGAACCTGGTTATGAACATGATTCTGGTCAAGATTAAATGATTTGATGATATTATAAAATTGATTAATTCGGATTTGGTATACTAGTAATGTCAACTTTTGAAGATGTTAAAATTCAATGGATTCATTTCGTTTTTGGTATTGATACACTATTTGATAGAATTTCAGCTGCTCTTAGTTAAAAATCTATTAATAATCTTGAATGATAACCCATCAGATCCAACCCTGGATGAAGCTGCATTAAATCAAATTTCAATATGTTCTGGAGTTTTGATGATCAATAGAAAGCCAACTTTGAGTAAAGAAAGATCGTATTATTTTTCTGAGGAAATTGGTTTATATTGATTAGGTTATTATAATCCATTAGATTTTGTTGAAGGAAATATTAATAAACCAAGAGGTCCAACATTAGAAACTTCAACTTCAGGTTTGGGAGGTTATTGAATATCAGCTGAAGAATCTGAACTTATATTTTCTCAAGCAAATCGTTTAACTGGAACTTTGATGATTCAATTTTTAGGATCCACAATTGAGAAGGTCAATCTAGTTATTGATTGTGTATCAAGATCTGATAAAGAAGCTGAAGATTTAGAACATGTGGTTGAAGATATGATTAATGGTGGTTTTAAATGTATTTTATGTTAGTTTATGAAATGGCGGCTAATAATTTAGTCTACAGATACATAATTTGAATGAATATAATGAATCATGATTTTCTGACAAAAACAAACGATTAATGTTTCAAATCATTATAAGTTTCTATGTAGAATATCAATCACGTATATTATAACTTTTAATCATATCTATAAGATTGATGAATGGTTATCTTATTATTTGATAACAAAAAAGTTATACGTCAATTAATTTAAAATCAATGCTAAAACTTAAACTAATATACAAAATCATGATTTGCCCAAATTGTGAAAGAAACAGCTATCTTCATTAACCTAGGGTTGAAATTTTAATTAATTTTGGAAAATTTCAGGAATTTTTGGGATTTATATAGACATTGTAGATGCGGCGGAAAAGTTTAAAATTGAATGATCAATGACCTTAAATTGAATTATATAAGATCTACAATTCTACAAGATATAAGTTCAAAATTATAAAATGATCATTGTATAAACTGATTTGATGATTAAAACAAAATCAAGTCTATATACAATCACTTAATGTTTATTGAATTATACTGATAATCCTAATCATCTATTTCAATACAAAGTTTGAGATAACTAGTAATGTTTTAAAGCTAATCAAGCGCCTCAGTTATGGAAACACAATGGCTTTGAGGAATTAAAATAGTAAATTCAAATCTATCAGGATCAACGTAAGTTTGGGTAATTACAACGGACATTTCATCACAATCGACCGACTTCATATTGAAGCAGCACTGAAAGAGTCATTCACAGCTTTATTGCTATTAAGATATTCACTAAAGCTGTTTTCGCATATAATTTTTAAAGGGGGATTCAACACTTTTATAGGTTTTCAAACTTGGCGCGTGGTTAAATTTAAATTAATGGGGTGATTGTGAAATTCATATATCTACTTGTACAATATTATTAAGGACTACACAAAGCTAGTTTAGATTGATAACTATCAAAGCTATGGAACGTTAGCTGCTCTACAAATCACTTAATTTTGAAAATGATAATGGTTTAGTACTATAGAACTTGAATTGTAAGTTATAAAACAATATCAAAAACGATCTATATCTAAATCAACATTTATTAATGATATTTCAACCTTTGTATAATGAAGGATACACATGAATCAGAATTTTATGAGTATTCAACACCAATATGTATATGACCTTTCAATAACTGGCTAATCGTTAACTTCTAACACACAACAACAACGTCGACTAGTTATACATTGACAAATGAATATTCATTTGCAAGATATGCACGTATCACTTTAACAACTTTTGCAGCCGGTATTGGATTTTTAACAACTGACATTTGGTCTATGTTATTAAGTTTAAAGAGATATACTGTGCAAGATTCTCGAGATCAATTCACATTAAAAAAAAAACAAGGATATCTTGTTGTTTAAATATTTATTTTTGTTAGGACTATGAGACTTCCTAGTTGAGTAAGGTTATGTTCTACTGGTATGTAGTTGTTCTCTGATAATCCGATCTCCTCTATATATAATATAGACATACTCAGAGTGGGAATAGGACATGTATTTATAGTTAAACCTATGATCATACGTGGGCCTAACAATTTTCGAGACCAAGGCGCGTGAGCATCTGTGGCCGGCAAATTAAAGTTTAATATTATCACATATAATTGTAAAATTAGCCTGATCATCTACTAAAATTGATTGAACTAATTGATCTAGTTTTATCCAAAAGCAAACGATTCAAGTATAATAGACCACTATGTGTAGTGAATATATTACTATTCAAATATGTATGGACAACTGACTTTCAGACGCATTCTGATTGTTAATTTCTTAAACAAGACCGGGCCGACTCGGGAGCAATCATCCGGATAATTTCAAATTATTCAAACAAATATTTTCATAGTAATCAACCACAATGTAAATTCTTTTTAACATTAATCAACTATACTACTATAAACATCAGTCAATTAAATAGATATTTCAATTGTATCTCAAATTATATTAATATGACTTACATCATACTAAGGAAGTAAAGAATATTTGGATTCGTATCAAATTAGAGCTACATCAACAACCAATTCAAAAGATGATAATAACATATAGATCGAATTGTAAAAGGTATCAACAAGAACAAATCATATATACTCTTAATAAACATCTTCATTGATCTAATGAGTTTAAAGAATCAAACATATTGGATCAGTTTAATTAATCATTAATCAATTTTATTCATATACTTGCCTAAATTGAGTTAAGCTGAATAACAGCTGAAAGTTATAAACAATAACACAGAGACCATAACACCAGAACCATTGTCTAACTCAAAAATGGACATCATCGAAAACTTCTGTACTAGAACCTCATTGAACCAAAATTACAAGATGTAACAAGGTGAATCAACAAGAAGATAGTAATTTCATTGAAAGAATCTGACTAACCTCTGAAAAATTCATCAACGTAAAATTGAAGTTGTGATAAAATTAATTTGGGAATTTCTCCTCTTTATATGTTTTTTTCACAGCGGCTAATTATTTGAGTTTTTAATAATTAGTGAATTAATTACTGTCCGGTAATACGTAATAAATTTAACTACAGCATATTATATTTCAAAAGAAGATGATTTGAGTATATAGAATGACTTGAATATATATGAATTATCAAAATCATCCAGATACCAATCAAATATTTATTAAAACGTTTTATAGATCTCATTAAAACTTTAGTGAGTTGTGTGAATATAGTTTCAAATCAACTTGAATTCACATCAAATTACCACATTGATAATCATCTCAGCTAAACATTAATATTGATAAACAAGTCGACATGTTGTTATTTCTGAAATAAATGAACGAAATTAAAAAGTCAGGATATGAACCATTAAACGATCAGAACCAAATTAAATTAAGAATCCAATTTTCAAGCTTATAGTTCTCGCGGTGAAATCAAATATTAATATTATATTTTTCAAAAAGGGGGATGTTTCAAAGTTTATATAGTTTTGAAATACAGCGGCTAATCCATAAAGGGCAAGATCTTAAGAAAATCAAGAACTACATGGAATTAAAAAACAATAGAAGATTCATATGATATATAGATCAAACTAATCCTGCAAAAGATCAGTTATAAGTCCAAAACATAATAAACAAATGCGTTTATTTTCTTATAAATACTTCACCAACTTGAACCTTCCAGTTAAGGTAAAGTTAGGGGACTGGTGCAGACGAATTATGGTAAATTCTTGAAGCATCAAATAAACCAAAACTAGATTCTTGTTCCTGTTAAATTATCTTAAACGGATCATTGAATGTAGGACCAGACTCCAGAAGAATTATAAGCGATCACTTCCATTTCAGTAACCAACTCATGAATTTAAATCATATTATAATTTAAAAATACTGTTCGGGGATATTTGTGATTTTATATGTTGTGACTCTCCACAGCGGCTAATTTTATATAATTTTGAATTGTAGTAATTTATCGTGCGCCTTGTTAAGTACTAGATTGATTTCAACACGTAGCTGAAAATCAACATATTTACACCGTAATAAATTTAAGATGCTAGTACAAATGATTATCAGCTCATATTAGTTAATAACTACAGAGATTTTAAAAGTATCAATTAAATGAAAATTGACTTCAATATAGACTAGGTTAAGCTGATCAACAAAACCATTGAATCTATATATCAATCCACATGTATTAATTTATGACAGTCCTAATGATTTTCCAATTGAGTAAAGTATCATATATTATACGAACTTGTATGATACATAAAATGAATGAATGTTACCAAATAAACGAAAGACATCAGGACCTTGAGGCTTAAACAAACCTATTCACGATTTAATGACATTTTACCTGAAAGCCAATACTATGAAGAACTCACATATATAGCAATAATATTTGATGATTTCGGAAACTAATCAGAAGTTAATATTATAATTATATAAATAGTACTGAACACCTTGGATAATTATATTCAAGAATTTCCATTGTTTAAATAGTATTTTAGATCTGGATATGTCGATCCGGTCCCCTCCACTTAACTGGACGCCTTAAATATAAACGACGGAAACCAATAATATTGAATTTAAGATCCAATAACACTACAGGAAATTAAGTTCAGAGTCATATAAGCACCACATACTATATAATCACTATATTTCATTGACATTTAACATCAATTATGAATCCACTGAGTATAAATTCTTTAACCCTTAGATATATTTCTGGTATTCGTACAATTTTAACTCCATGAAAATCCGAAAGCTGATATCCCCCCCCCCCCCTAGATAAAGCAACTGCTCAGGATAACATCAACTCAACTGATATTAGATTCATCATTAGTGGAACATTCGCAAACATCTGAATTGAAAGTGGAAAATGATTCAATGTATAGATCAGATTAATGATTAATATTCAATATGATGAATCTGAAAACCGTATATTCAGATCTGTCGATCCTAGGTTATAATCGACTTTATAAAGGTATCCAATATTTTATCCGTATAGATTGTATAACATGTATTCTAATAATTTGATAATCCTTAAAGCCATTAATATATAAGTCTACATGGTCAAAACAATTGTTCAAATAGAAACATGATTCTTAATATAAAGAACATTAATCAGATCAAATAACAACCTTCAATTAATGATTCATTTATAAATAATCAATGTGTATTTTTAAAGCATAAATTCTAATCATAATGAGCTATTAATAAACAATGTTCAATATATCACAACTCAAAGTTATAAATACTAAAATTTATAACCGCGACTAATAATTATAGCTCATGTCAAGCGACAAACAAGTCAAAAAGGCCTGATCAACACACCGTCAAATTAATTAGATCTTTTGAACTTTTCATATGTAACCGTTTAATGATCAATCTTGTGCTATAAAAGATATAGAATTTTCCCAAAACATAGCAGAACTTGAATTATTCATCATATATCTAGTGGACAATAGAATAAGTCGCAATTAGCTTTTACTTTTTTAAATTTATGCTGGATTTTTCAATTATAAGGGGCCGCGAAGCTAAAATGGAAAAATTCTTGCATACGTTTACAAGAGCACTCTGTACTAAAATGGAGATGTTCATATATAGATTTGTACGTCGATATATTGTTAGATCACTTGATGCTTTGATCGAAATAGCTACATCAATCAGATAATTATATTATATCCACTGGTATTATCACAATGACTGGTTCCGGGGCTGATTATTGATTTCAATAAAAGATGAATTTATAATTTGTATATAATAACAAAAGCTGATCATCAGATATGAGGTGAACCTACAATCAATCATAATTATATCCAGCAGCTAGATGGCATTAATTATAAAGTTTAGTATTCATTAAGTTGGTACAAGATTACATCAAATCAAGTGATATTACACTCGTAATTACTGGATAATCTACAAATTTTAAAATTCTTAAAAGTGGGAAATGATTCAATGTATAGATCAAATGATCATTAAAGATCAATATAGAAATCCATACTGAAATCAATATCATTTATTTGATGATATAATATAATCGTTCAATTCAATATGAAACATATTTAATCCATGATTCACGTTGTAATCTATTGAATGAAAGATCTATGAATCATCTAATTATGGAACCAAATTTGTTATAGATTGCAAAGGAAAATTTTCATGTATAGCCATGACAAAATTGTGTAAAGGGAAGCTGTTGTAACCAACTATTGTATTTTAATATAACACACAAGAGTTTAATGATAGCGCAAACGACTTCCTCAATGTCAATGAAAACTAAGGAGTTTCGTTTCCTAAAATATTTGAGTAAGAAAAATTATTTGGGATTTTTTCACCCTTATATAAAAATTATTAGTACAGTACACAGTACAGCTGTACAAAGATCGACGGGGGAAAATTTTGTAACTCGAATTATGATCCAAACTGAAAACCTTTACTGATTTATATTTGTTCTAATAAACTTGAAGCGTACTCATTATATTTCCATATAAGTCGTATATGGTGGATCCTATTAATTGATCAGCTAGCTTATTAATCACTACATTTAGTGATTTGTAAAAGGTAAAGATGATCTTCAATATAGATTGACTTAAAGTTTCTTCAAGTTCACAGATCTATAAATCTAATCAATCATTTATTCTGACTATTAACATACTGATAATTATAGTATATTATTTCTCATCAAAAGGTTAAGAACTAAATTTTCACTAGCGGCTAATTTGTAATTGGATCATATATAACAAAGCATTGTAACCTATGGAGATGAATCACAGCGGTTAATGATCTCAACTATGGTCTAAAATAATATGAAAGTATAAATAAAGAGGCCATTACTGTCTACAATATTTGACTCACTTATATATCAAGATACAGACTCGATAGTCATTATAGATTGAATTGTAGTATAAACAGAAACAAAATCTATAAATTGATCGATCAACATTTATTGCTTAATATGACATTTATAATGATTAACATCAACTGGGATCATTGAATAATTCAATGAAAATTGTTAAACGATTGTTGTAGTTAAATGCTTTGACACGATTTCACAAAAACAAATTTAAAGAATTAATTGACCATTTGATCCAATAAAAAATTTCAAGCTGATCATCATTTCAACGAGAATATACTATGCAACTGAGGACAAACGAATAAAGAAGAAAATAATCTGAGGCAAATTTTTGATTATATCATATAATCATGATACTGAGTTTGTATATTAATAAATTTGAAAATCTTCTGAGAAATTGGGGATCAGGTAAGGTTTAAATACTTTTCGAATACCACAGCGGCTAACACAAAACAAGAAACTTCTAGCTTAACAAGTATAAGTTCTACAATAAAACAATTGATGAAATGGAAACATGATACTTCTATAATGAGCATTAATCAAATCAAAGATCGTTTTAAAGATTCATTTATGAATTATCATGATATGTTATTTATGGCATATAACTTTTAATCAGATGAATATAAACATGTAGTTGATCAGTTCAATACTAATTAATGTAGTCAATTAACAATTAACCGTGTAGAATAATCACATAATTGCGTCTGTTCAAACCAAAACATAACACATTCGGTAACCATGATATTAATTAGAATGTACATTTTCATACCCTATAGTTTATTGGATGAAACCAATTTCAATCTCGAAAGAGATATAGACAGCTCATGAGTTGATTAAAATTCAGGAATTTATATGTTATTTATATAAAATTTTGTTCAGCGGCTAATTTTAATATTCATAACAATGGAAATTCTTTTGTGTAACTGTAATTCATTTACGACTATATAATCATTACAGATCATAATATATAGTTCACTGGGTTATAAGCTACACGTTCAATGGTATATTTGAAAGATGTTCTTATGAATGAATTACCATAAGCTAGATCACTTGATTAAATGAACAGCTGCAATATGTACTAACCATTGTTATCAAAATTAAAAAAAATTAATATATTGATTTCAATTATATATAGAATGTCATGTAGGTTTAAACAAAAACAAAATTCTGTATATCTTATCAATGTATATTATATAGTTCATATAAGCTATAATGATTAATTGTATGACTAATTAATGATAGCAATTAATATAATCAGTTCAATTTCAAGTTCATCAATCATATTGAACAGCTTATGAATTGAATTTTTGATTGCTTGTTTAACTATCACTGCGCTTGAAACACAAAATCACTAAGTGGGCATCTAACTGCAAGCAGTTGAGCTATAATACGAACATCAATTAGACCAATAAGATACAAATTTTACTGATATCTGGAACATGTTCAATAACAATGTTAAGCTATAAAGTTTTATTTCAAAAGATAAAAAATTGACCGGGATAATTTTTTTAGTCGCGACCGCGAATTCATATAAAAGCCCGGCTAGTTTTTGCCGAAAGTAATAGTTAAGGCAGCTAATACTTAACTTATGAAATTATGAATCATCTTGATAATCTCTGAATATATAAAGAATACAATTATCCTAATTTGACATCTCTCATAATGCTAATAGATTCATTATTCAAGTTCTCATAGAAGAGCTATTGATATCACATAATACAATTACAATATGCAAATTACCAGATTAACAAACGTGGTGGTGATTTTATTTTTGTCATTAACAGTTATGGCCATAGAGGTTAATTTAACTAGATTCACTGATTGTATTTCCTATTATTCAAATGAAACATACACATACAACATCGAAGAAGGAAAGATAGCTGTATTCCCAGAAAATGATAGAGTCTTAGATAGAAGAGGTGTTGATAGTGTTGTTTTTAGATGTGCTGAAATGATTAATGCACCTGGTGTTTTTTACCTTAGACAAAATTCTCATCCTGCTTATACTCCAGTGGATGCATTAACAGGTTTCCAATTACTTGAACAAACAATAGGAGGTCTTATTACACTTGATCGTCCACAGAATAAACACATATAATGGAAATGGGGATTGAAAAGATGTGATACATACTATGGTTTTGATGGATTAGATTTCAATTTCCTATAACAGCTTATGCCAGAATATATCATAGCAGATTTGTGAATGTTAGACCCTTCATATCAAAAATTAGCTCAATCAAGTTTATGATGATTTACCAGGTTGGTTCAGCTTGAGGTTATCCAATCTCATGTGAGTTAGATTTCGTGGATTATAATGCCAATCACTTCAAATTATCATGTTTATATATATGCTACAAATAATTATGATTTAAAATAATATAAAAGATGATTTTAAAATAGATTGACTTCAAATTTTAAACTAAAGTTCAGATCTATATGTAATCAATCATTTATTTCAATTAAACATTCAAAACAAAATTGTAAGATGTTATTAATATCTAATCTTAAAGTACTTTGAGTTTAACAGTGAATGGAGTCCCGAATGTAATCCAAAAGGTTCCGTGATATTCAAATAAGTTTTGAAAATTTCAATATCAAACACAAAAGTGATGGTGTCCAACCCAATTGGCAACACCTCAATAGCTCGTATTACTGATGCATCTTATAAGTTCATAAAGGGGGAGTAGAATTAAAGCTCATAGTTTCAATTAAAGAATTCATTAATGAGTTTATATTGATTTCAATTGATTTTGTGTCACACCTATTGTTTTAACGACAGCGGCTAATTTGTACATATAATCATATACAATACTTACATAGATGTCAATAACGATGATGAAATAATTATCAGCTAGATATTATGTAGCACATTTAAATCGCTGTGATGGTAATAGCTACAATATTAAACTCAGTTTCAAAATGAAAGTTTATCAATATATTATTATAGATTGAATTGCAGTTTAGTGTAAACAAAAACAAATCTATATTAACTAGATGATTGCAACATTTATTGAATTACATCAAATTAACTTCAATATAGTATTATAATCAATTAATCTCCATTAAATCAATGATCAATGATAAAAAGTATGAATGTATTATAAGCAGTTCAAGGTCAAGACACGAGGAATTAAAATAACTTCAGGAGCTCTATAACGCTTAACTCAGCCATTAAAAAAGTACTCTAATTTGACATAAGTTAGTAGGTCATTCAAAATAATCAAGGGGGCTATTAGTTATAAACTCACTAAAGATATGATTCATGATAACTTCACCCTTGGTATGAGAAAAAAGTTAAAAGAAGTATATGTTATAAAATTATATAAAAGTACTATACTATAGAACTAAATCTTGAGGAATTTCATGGTTTAAGTAGTAAAATTTTACAGCGGATAACTTAGGGACAAGATTAGCAAGCTGTTGAAATTAAACTTAATTATTAGGGATGTCTACAATCAAGCTGCAATTGATAAAATGGGAACATGATACTTTTATAAAGAACATAAATCAGATCCAATAAAGATCCTTTTGATGATTCATTTATAAATAATCAATTTGTATATTGTAATAGATCAATTCTAATCTTTATAATCAAATATGAACAACGCTTATAATGATCAGTTCAAAGTTACGATTGAAACTAGATATTTAATAGAAAAATTGGTTTAAGCAAAGAAATAGGTCAAATTGAACGACCGGGATGCATCAAATCATGTAATATTATGAAGATAAACTGTATAGACACATTAACATTGAAGAACCACCCAAATAAACAACAATATCCATAAATGTATTGGAAATGAATATATGATTTGAAGTTTTTGAAATTCAGGAATTAATGGACTTTAAATGGGGGCCAGGTTTTCAAAAAATTAAGGGATGGATTTACAGCGGCTAATTTTCATATGACCGGGGCGCCAAAGTACAATACTTAACGTCATGGTTATCATCAACCTTGAAGTGAAGTCATGATTGTATTATTGTATTCAATGTTAGTCAATAATAACAGCCATACAAATCAATTATCATCTCAATTGTATCTCAATTGTATCTCAAATCTTAATATGATCTGTACATAATACAGATAAGGAAATTAAAGAACCTTCAGAAGAATGCAGTATTCAATAGACTACAAATTCAACAACTAGTTCAAAAGATAATGATATATCGTACATATAGATTGAATTGTAAATGATATCAACAAAAACAAATCATATATAGCCTATAATCAACAAGTTTATTGACTTAATGAGTTCAAAGAATCAGATATTGGATCAGTTTAATTAATCATTAATCAACATTTCTTATATTATGCTTACCCAAGTCAAACGTTCAACATGAAAACTATCAATAGAAGTTGATAGAGCGGCAAGTACCCTGGTCAAACTGATATTAATCATGATAAACCACCAGCAGGCGCAAATCATATAAATGGCGAAGCCGATACAACTAATAGTGATCCAAACAATATTATCAAGTTAAGAAATTATTTATAGATTTATTGATATCAATTAAATATATGGGATTTCTCCTGTTTATATAGTTTTAATAATTTTTTACATGGCGGCTAATTTTATCATTCAAGATTTGCCACATAGATCACAAAACTGAACATGTTGAATATTAAATCAATAGTACGTACTAAAGATCCTAAGTACTGACTAGCTACAATAATATGAATATTGATTCACTTTTTAAAAGAGCTTATGTTAGTATATATACTAGACGACTTGAAAATGGATCAAGATCAATCATATAGGCAAATCAAATGTTTATTCATGTTGTATAACAATTAGATCTCTTGAAACTTTCATATAATCTTAATTGTATATAATCACAAAATTCTGTTTGTATGACTTAATGAGCCATAGAAATGAACAGCTAACTAGTGATCTAGGTCCCTTTAAAAACACATCATATGAAATTGTGAAGTGTACACTCGAAAGATCATATATCCAACAAGGCCGCAAAAAGATTAAAGCAGTTTGAAACTGAAGTCAAATTATTTTTAAAATTGAGGAGGTTTCTTAAGCTTATATACTTTTGGAATACAGCGGCTACTCACAAGAAATTATAAAATTTAATCAACTGATCTCCATTTAAACCAGGTTAAGACGTTCAAATGCCAAACCATAGATTTTAATATATATTGATCAGCGTCATTTATTAAGATATATCTATAGTTAAATGATCATATTTCATAATTTGTGTAAATGGTAATATTATAATAATAAACATCCAATTGTAACAAAGTTTCAATGATAATTCTTCTCTAGAATGATAATATTGAGTTTGAATATCCCCCATATGAAGTTAAGGGCTAATTTAACAGACTTGTTTATCAGTCTAATTAACAAGAAAGAAAAAAGTGTACAGATGTATTCCAAGGCAACTAAATGACCTTTAATGGTTGACAATTTAAAGGGAAAATTGTGTTTTATTTTCAGGAATTTCCACAGTGTATATAATTTTCAAATTTCAACCCTTGGCTACAGCTGCAAATGACGTACAACTAGTAATAGTAAAATTCAATTTGATTCAGATATACAACTAAAAAGCTTTGATTTCATTATATATAATCTCGTTAGAAAAAACTGGAGATCTTAGAGAATGATAATAGTGAATTAGTTAACACAAGTAATTAAATCAATAAGATTTCTAGGGATTTTCATGAGTTCATATAAATTTTCTGCACCTAGTATAGGACATCTCCACAGCGGCTAATTTTATTGATTTAACACCCTGATCAATTTAGGATATATTCTAGCACGTAGATGGATGGGAACAAATAATCGATAAGAAGTTAGAACACCGAAATATATAGGTAATGACTACAATGGTAAAAGTTGTGACATTAAAATAACAAATTAGATTTCAATATAGATTAGGTCAAGCACAAACTCAAAACCATATAAAGCTCTATATATCAATCAACGTATATTGTTAATATTAGATAGACATCTCCCAATCATACTCCAATCAATTATAGAGGCTTGTATGATATATCATAATATGAAAGACAATAGAAATAACGAAGGTTTAGCCAGAATATCATGAAGGAGTACTAAATATTTGATGCTGAACCAAGCCCATTGTCCACAGAAGAAAAGTTAGCGTTTATAATTCTAAAAGATCACAGAGAACTTCTTGGAACACATATTGCATAATCATCAGATAATATAATCGTACTAAATAATTAAATGAAAATTTGAGGAAATTCCATTGTTTAAATACTTTTATATATTTAGACCGGGCGCTGTAATACTTGAGGAACTTCTATAGTCAAGAAAGTAAACTCGAAATTCGATAATTGTGTATAAACTATAAAATGTAATTAAGTAGAAAAAGTACTTCTTAAGTAGCTTGGGAAGATACCATAAGACGATGGTAAATGACCCAACAATTTAGATAAACGGCAGCAGAAGGTGGTAAAAGGAGCCAACAGATGATGGTAAAAAGGCCAGCAGATGAAGGTGGAAATATCCAACAGAAGATGGTAAAAAACCCAACAAATGATGATAAGAACAATCAATAAAGATAATCATGAGATGGTTAGTATAACGTCCTTAATACAGGCGCTAATTTGTTTCCAATCCGGTCCCCTCCACTTCAGCTGGGCGATCAATATATCAACGTATAAAAAATCATATTGAAGTTAATACAGCTACCTCCTACTACGTTAAGAGTTAGAGTCAGAATCAAATAAGATCCACACAGTCTCAATATAATTCATTGATATCCATCATCATCAATTGAACCCAACAACCATAGCCTTTAAAATACCATTGTTATTATTGTACGATCTGTTAACTCCTTGAAAATCCGAAAGATAAAGATTTAAGAAAAAGCAACCCTTTAAACCCTTTTACCCCTTAGATAACAACCCATCTAAACAACAGGATCCAAATTAACAAATTTATATCATATTAACAATGGCTTCTAGAGTTGAACAAGAATTGACACCTCATGAATTATATCAATGTTATAAAAACATCAATAAAGTAACTTCATGTTTCCTTGTTGGTTTAAAATTGAGTCAAAAGTTAGATCCAGAAATCTTTGAAGATGCAATTAAAGAACTTTTTCTATCAAGAAGAAGACTTAAATTCAGTATTTATATGGAAGATGAAAACAAACCAATACTTATAGAATTATCAAACTTCCCATCAAATTGTATTGAATTTTGGTCAACTGATGATGATCAAGAAACATTACTTAATAAGTTCCATAATATTTATTTTGAATTTGGTAAACGTCATGAATTAAGTTATAAATTCATAATTGTTAACAATGAATGGATTTATTTCATTTGTGAACATACTTTGTTTGATGGTTCATCAGCAGCTTTGATATTGGAAGATATATTAAAAATTTTAAATACTGAGGAACTCCCACCAGATCCAAATCAATATGATGAATTAGAATTAAATCAAATTTCAAAACCTTCTTATGGATTACTTGCTACCAAAACTATGGAATCATGTGCTCCAAATTGGATTAATGAAAAATTTAGATATTTGTTTAATCCATTATTATCAAATGAAAGTTTAAAACCTGGTTGGATAATCAATACCCCTAAAAAACATACATATCAATATCCAATTCATATAATTTCGTTTGATAGGTATGATTTCCAAACTTTGAAAGAATTGGGAAAGAAACATGGTGTTAAATTTACAAGCTTTTGGTCGTATTTAAATTTATTATCATTTTCTAAGATGGAAGATGAAAATATTACATTAATGATCCCATATAATGTTCGTCCTTTATTATCCGATATTTATGAAAGAGCTTATGGATTGATAGTTTCAAGTATTCAGCACATTTTCAAACCACCAAATCCATCAACAGCTAATATTGAATGGGAATATTGTAAAAATTTGGAAAAGACTTTAAGTGAAAAAAATTTGATTTATTCGGCTGGACAAGTTGGTTTATTAGATTATTATGATCCATTAGATCTTGTTAAAAGAAATATAAATAAACCAAGGAGTGCAACATTAGAGATTTCAAATTTAGGACTAAGAAAGTGGGTTGGAATGGATGATCTTCATGCAAAAGAATATATATTTTCTCAAGCAAATAGTTTGACTGGTGCTTTAATAACTCAATCTATAGCATCCACGAATGAAAAAGTCAATATAGTTATTGGTTGTGCACCAGAATTTGAAGTTTATTTCACTGAATATATTGATAATTTGGAATATTTGGTTAAAGATGTGCTTAATGGTAATTTAGAATGAATTTTATGCTAGAAAATGACATGGCGGCTAGTGCAGATAATCTACAAATAGTAATTAATGAAAAATGAATCATGATTTAATCTAACAAGAACAAATGATTAATGTTTTAAACCATTATGAGCTTCTTTGTAGAATATATCAATCTGTGTATTATATTTAACTTTTAATTTATAAGATGAATTCAAACAGTCAGCTTATACATCAAAGTAATATATGAATTATTCTGGTTTTGGAAAGTTACCTTTTTAAATGATTGACATACAATCATTTTCTGCCGGCAATTATTCATTGTTCATTTGTACATCGTTATACATAACAAGTTTAGTTAAAGCCAACGTAAAAGCATTTCATAAACTCACAAGCAGCCAGTTAGCTGTTTAGTTCTAAATAGTTTTTGAAACATTTTCAAATTAGTGGGTTTTGAGCTATATTTATATAGGAATTTCAGATCCACGGCGGCAAAATTTAAAATTGAGATCAATGGTCATTAAAGTGAAAGATTTAAAATTCTACGAGGTATATGATTTAATTCAAATGATAAAATGATTGACGTAATTGTATAAACTGATTTAATAATATCAAAAC